AAAAAGTAACTTACAGCTCGTACGTTGTTTGCATTTTTAACGAACCGATCGTTGGCGTATTTTGCTATTGCTATTTTGCGGCTATTTTATTTAATGCAGTTTCTTTAAATAATTTGATAAAAAATATTTAGGTAATTACAACGGGGATGTAGCTCAGATGGTAGAGCGCTCGCTTAGCATGTGAGAGGTACGGGGATCGATGCCCCGCATCTCCAGTATATATTTTTTGCAATTACGGTTATCATTATGAACAGCAAAGTTTTATCGTGTTGGACCCGAACTGGGAGTTTTTCAGGCTAAAATTTGCATCTGAACTTGGTCTCAGCGCCATTTTGATCCAAGTGCTCCAAGTTTGCTTTTGCAGCATCCTAAAGGTATTTGACTATATCCACTCTGAATAAAAACATCGGTATTCAGTTTACAAAAGATTTTATAATACTGAGCCCGTGGAATTAAGATGAACATCATTTAGATTCGACAAACATTTGTTAGCAAACCAAATTAAATATTCACTTTTCAATTAATATATTTCTATTTGTGCATTAAGACTAAAAAATATTCTAAATTATTATATAAATATAAATTTTTTGTGCTTTAATAAAACAACAAAAATCGTTAACTTTCCTTTACCGAAGATATAACACACTTCAAAGGTGAATTTTTATGGTATAGAAGGGTAGAAAAAGATCTTTATCTTGACTTTGATAGGCCTGTTTGTATAGCATAGTGGTCAGATATCGGCGGTTCCGACAAATTAATAGTTTTTGGGCGTATTTACAGAGCGACAGACGGACATGGCTAAATCGACTAGGCTCATCATGCTGATCATTTATATAGTATATACTTAATAGGGCCTCCGATGTTTCCTTCTGGGTGTTACTAACTTCGTGGCAAAATTAATATACACTGTTCATGGCATGAAAAAGCCTATGCGTGAACTTATTTAAGATCCATATGCATATGTACATTCAACCACAATGAAATGTATCTGCCTAATGTGGCAGCATTTGTTGTTTTTCTTAACAAACCGAAAACAAATTTTATGTGGGAACCAGCCGTCAAAAGCGTCGCGTGCCTGGTAGGCGCCAACAATGATCTACATATGTATATATACATGCATATGTATATATGGTAATTTAGTAAATATGTGTAAGCAAACAAATGTTTAGGTATGCATATACATAAGTATGCGTAATTTTGTATACCCAGGATTCCGAAGGGAGTTGCAAGTAACTTGTTCGGAGTTTGAAGTAACTTGTTATGTTACAAAATAGCTGCTGCTGTGGCGCAAGCAACAAGAGTGACGGCCTTGTTTGTTTGGTAATAAAGTAGCAACAACAACCACGAATGTTAAGAACACACCCAAACTGCAATTACTAAAATCTTCTGATGCTAAAGAATATATGCAGTGGTACGAGGCTAGTTTGATAAGTCCGTAAAAAGGGTGTCAGCTTTTTCTCGCTGGTAAAGATAACAAAAATAATTATACTCTTGCCAAGAATGTGTTTGTGAAGAGGGAAGCCGGTGACTTAGAGATGAAACATTGACTCACCGTCGAGGTCAACAACTCCATATATCAATTATCAGTCGTTTGAGAGTTTTGTCTAAGTCCTGTAAAATACCGATGCTAAACGAACAACGTATCAAAAGTATATACATTTAAGAAAAATCTAAACCTAAAAGATGTGCCATGGCGAAGACACAGGAAAAGGTAGTAATGCTTACTTTTTTAACCCTTATGTTAGTAACCAACTTTACCGAGGTCTTTTAGCAACCGGGTACCACGATCTGATTTATTATTATTTTGTTTATTTTATTAAAAAAATTTTTTCTAAAAAAATCTTCAAATATTAAGTCAGTGACAATTTAAAGAAAAAAAATAACAAGAACTCACAAATGGCTTTTTATTAAGTTAAAAAACGACGATTTGAGAGCTTAAAATGAAATATTGAATTCTTTTTAAGCTATTCACACATTCGGGGTAACCGGTTACTAACATAAGGGTTAAATTTAAACTCATATCGAACAAGAAACGCTACTGAAAAAATTGCCATGAATTTCGGTAAATATTATTTTGAGGACCGACTTGACACTCTCTTAAAGCACAATTTAAAAAGCATTGGCTTTCTAATACAATACAGTTTGCTTTTATTAAAATTTTTAACGACTTATCAAACTGTTATCGTAAGCTTAGCAACAACTCCACGGGTCGGTATACCCGTGTTGGCTTCTTGAGGCATTTGCTTCTACCATCAGTCAGCTGGGTGGCCAGGCGTAACTCCATGTCATTGTCGTCAAAACACTGTAGAGGACGAAGTTCAAAAGTTGCTTTTGTAAACAACAAATAAACGCTGCTAGGGCGAAAAATTCATTCCACAACTATACTGTCTACCAGTTTGCTTGCCTTCTATGTGCGCTATGCCTTGCGCCGCCACGACTCACTAATGTTTTCGTTTAAAAATTAAAACAAAAGCTGTCGTCATAAATAGCACATCATGTATCATTGGCATATCCTCCACTCGACCACCGCAATTGAGTGTGTGACGCCAGCCACATATGAACACACACATGCATTTTTTTTATATATTTATGTAAATATGTGCATATAACAATGTCTCTCCATCCAGAATCTAGCACATTGATATTTTTTGCTGTTTAATTGCTTAACAGTCAAGATGAAAATGAAAAAGCAAGTGAGCAAACATTGGCATATTGTCTGATTTATAACTTCAACAATGCAATTGAGTGGGCGAATGAACGATCGCAGGGGTTGTTGTGAGGTAAATGGATTTATGCGCGGTAAGTTCATTGGGATGAGCTAAACAGTGATACAGGATGTGAACATATAAGATATTGGAGTATGTTCATAGGTGCAGAGCCCGAGTTGCCAATTAGTTGAAAAATCAAATGATTTCATAAAAGTTTTTCATAGAAATAAACAAATAATCTTATAGATCATCATCTTATAGACTAGTGTAGAAGCCTATGAAAATGATAAACAAGAATAAACGTTAATTTCGGTTGTACCGAAGCTCTAATACCCTTCACAAATATAGAGGTTCCTTACAAGAACTTGATTACGATCTAATTTCGTGAAGATACCTCGTCAAATAACACAGTATTCCATGCAATCGTTTTATTCCGATCGTTCAGTTAATATGGCAGCTATATAATATAGGCATCCAATCTATAAACTTTCTTCGGATATTACATTATTGACAATTATCCATTATTAGACAATAATCCATGCCAAATTTCTTCAATATGCCTCATCAAATGAAAGAGTTTTACATACAAGCACTTGATTCCGATTGTTCAGTTTGTATGGCAGCTATACGCTACGTCTGATATCGGCCGTTCCGACAAATGAGCAGCTTCTTAGTGAAGAAAAGACAGGTTTAAAATTTCAATCGAAGACAGACGGACATGGCCAAATCAACTCAGCTCATCATGCTGATCATTTATATATATTTTTTATAGGGTCTACGACGTTTCTTTCTTCGATAAAAGGAAGGGGAGCGTGGTTGAATTTTAAATTAAAAACGGTTTGTCTTGATTTCTACCAAAACTACGAATCCTACGAAACTTGACGAGAGACTTTTTGATTAAAAATTAAGGTTTTTTGTCGATTTTAAGTCAAAATAAGGTTTCTTCTTTAATATTTTAAATTAAAAAAATAAAGTGTATTTGGTACATAAGTAGGTCATCAAATATGGTGAAAGAAAAAAATTTTGTACAAGGTATAAATAAAAAATCCAAAAATTTGGTTATTTGAATTTTCACATAAATATTCAGGTTATTTGAAAAAAAAGTCTTTTTTCTGTAGGACTCGTAGTTTTATCGGAAATGGAGATAAACCGTTTTTAACTCCTAAAAATTCAACCAAGTGATCCATTTAGTCAAACTAAAACTTATTTATCCACCGCAGACTTATTAAACTTTTAAAATCCACTTTGTTGTAGTTTGGTATTGAAACGAAGTAAATTTGAGGTTAATGTTTACAAATTTGACAGTAGATAAGTAAGAATTTTCCAAGATGTGTCTTTTCCGATTTGGTTGATCAATATCGGCCAGAAGGTATAAACTCTTCCGATGTATGCATACAAATCTATGACGGTCCCTTAAGAGACACTCCAGAAACAAGTCAGAATTACATGCTTTGAAAAGAAACAAAATTAATTCATACATGTTTACCTCAATAACAGAACTTGCGATGGTGGTTAAATAACTGTACTTTAAACGTGTTGGATGCATAAATTTTGAATTAGACGTTCATTTGGGCTTGCGTATTGATCATATGTATGTACATACCATATTGTAAAACCTGAATGTCTGCACATCATAGATGTGACTTGAATTTTAATTATATGGTACGAAACAATGTGCGCATGAGCAGCGATATTTTATATTTAAAAATACATTTCGTTGTATATATTTGAATAGCGGTATTTTGGTTTTAAAAATATATTTTCGGAATTATAATGGGGATGTAGCTCAGATGGTAGAGCGCTCGCTTAGCATGTGAGAGGTACGGGGATCGATGCCCCGCATCTCCAGGATTCGGTTATTTTTTGGCATTCCTGAGCACTGATTTTTATAAATGTATTTGAATACCTCATGGTAAAAACAAATTACATATAAAAGGTATTAAAAATATTTATTACTGTGTTTGATAATATTTTTATGAATTATGTATGTACAAATTTGACAAAGAAATGATAAAATAAATATTTTATATACGAACATACTTGTATACATATGTATATAGTTAGTCGAAGTAAGTAAGTAATTTCTAATTGAGTAGTGTCTATAAATAAATGCTAAATATCTTGAATAAAATTTTACATGTAAAAACATCCAAAGGTTTACTATTCAGTAAAAAATTTAAAACGATTTAACCAATTTTATTATAAATTCAAAATGAAAGCATTTTTATTACCAAAATGTAAAATGGCAACCCTATCTTCATAAAATTGCTTCTTTACTTTTCTACAACTCAGCTATTTTCAAGACGTTTGCCGTTGTTTGAATATTCATTACTTTTAACGGATAAACTTCAACGAAGGAGAAAGCTTATCGGCAAGTGCAAGGAGTGGTAAAAGTTGCTGTCGTCTGCGGAATTTCTCATATGTGGCAAAAGGACTAAAGGAAATTCACAGTAATTACAAAAGAATTTACATATAAAATATTAACTGTAAATATATGTATATAAAAATAAGAGATAGTAAATGCGAGTCATCATTCTATTTTAGTTCAAAATAAGTATTGCGTTAAAATAATAACACAATTCTGGAGATGCGGGGCATCGATCCCCGTACCTCTCACATGCTAAGCGAGCGCTCTACCATCTGAGCTACATCCCCATTGTTGCATTTAAACTAGCCGTAACGGTATTTATTTGGAAATATATGACATTTGTTGTCGTTAGCTATCGCAGCCATGGTAAGAAAAAATAGCCATTGTATCTTGGGGATATAATTAATATAAAATAACGAAGTAGACAATGAAATAGTTTATATTTAAATTGAGCTACATTTTTATACCTAGCGCATATTTTTGAGCTAATACATATGATATGTTTCAAAATTTCAATACAGAAATGGTGTATTAACATTACCTAGTTACCACTTCTTTATAAAGGAGCGTCAACAGGCCAAACATATTGAAAAATTTTATGTGTAGAAGTGAGTCCAAACAAAATACTATAATGTAGCATGTCCTAATATTTTAACTGGTTAGAAATCTACAAAATCTTCTTTATTTGCATATTCATTTTATAGCTGTTTCCTAATGGCATTTAAGTTAAATTATGGTCACAAAGTAGAAACGAAATATTGTTCAACTAAGGTTAAGATTTCGAAATTTTTTTATTTAGTTTTCCCGTCTGTATATACGCAAACTAGTCCTTAAATTTTTGAGATATCGATCTGAAATTTCGCACACGTTCTTTTCTCCTCGATATCGGACCACCATAGCATATAGCCATACAAATTGAACGATCGGAATAAAGTACTTGCAGGGAAAGCTTTTTCATAAAACGTGATATTTTGAAGATATTTGTCATGGATTATTATCTCAGGCAATAAGACAATCTACGAAGAAATTGTTTATATCGAATACAGCTGCCATACAAACGAAACGTTTGCAATCAAGTTCGTGTAAAAAATATTTTGTATTCGCGAAGGGCATTATTGTTTCCGAAGTTAACGTTTTTTTTTTGTTAAATATTTCTTAGTGAAAATAGCATACAACATTCTTCAAATATCATACTTTAATCTACGATTGGTTTTAATAAAGTGATTTTAACCATGTCGTACCAAAAAATTAACAAAAAAAATGGGAGTTTTTGCACGAATTAGCCTTATTTATAATAAATAAATTGTATATGAATTTAAACTTTGTGTCAAACATACTGCATTTTATACTATTATGTCTCCTTTTAATGATAAGTATGGTACCGAATTAGAAATGTTAAAAGTTCGTAAAAAATACGCTGAATTCTATATCATTTTAATATGAGGCCCAAAAACGAAACACATACATAGCTATGTATTTATGCATTGGGTATAACAAAAAGCAAAGCACAATAAGTAGCAGAAAGTGAAAGGCCAACAAGCAAGGCCGCGTATTCAATAATTAACCAATTAAGCCTGTTTCTTTTATTTTTATCACCTTTAGTTATCATATACACACACACACACACACAAACAAATGCGATAACTATTCATAAAAGTGAAATCTTTAAGCATGTTTTGAAATGAATATAATATAAAAAAAAGCAAAAACAAATATTATAAATTGTAAAAAATCCGCTAACAATTTTGTACGCATATCTACAAGCGGCTCAATGGTCTAGGGGTATGATTCTCGCTTTGGGTGCGAGAGGTCCCGGGTTCAAATCCCGGTTGAGCCCAACCAATTTTTTTCACAAGTGAAGTTGCGAGTGTATAAGCAAGAATAAATATGTAATATAATATATAAAGCGCATTGAAAAAGTTTATATACTGATTTTGGCAAACGGAATGCGTTGATGCTGCCACAATGGTTGCTGCTGTTGCCATTGCTGTCGCTACCACCATCTAATCAGAGTACGCAATTTGCCGATTTCACATTGTTTGCCGTTTGTTTTTCAAACAAACAATAAAATATTGGCACATTAATGTTTAGTCAGACGTAAAATTACTTTTAAGTCTTTTTCCTTATGCATGCAATGAAAACAAAAACACTACAACACTAAGGTGGCGGCCACCTTCCTTGCATGCGTTTGTAGCTTGTCTTACTTGCCACTTTGCACTACCGAACGTGGTTGTTTTTGTTGTTGTTGGGAGGGCAAAAAGTTTTAAAATAATGCAAAGAAATTTTCATACACATTTTTCCGGGCATTAATCCGCTTTGCTTGCCTGCGCTCCAAATAATCGTAAGTTGCAGGGCGCGAACTTGGAGGCTGGTGAGCGTTATTATTGTAATTGTTCGTCCTTGGTGCCCAAAAATTTGTCTGGCCAAGTATTTTATGCTCTCAATACTTGATGAAGTTGTCATTTTCTTTTTCAAAAAAGAATAAAAAATAAATAAAAAAGTAATCTGTAAATATGAGCTGGCATTTAGGCATGTCTTAATTTACGATTTTTCCACTCAACAATCATTAATTCGGCTGAGGGTTTAAGTTCTTCATTTGCAGACTGCTAGTGGTAGGTGGCAAGATATCACACCATCACCGTACCATCCACAGCATTTACTTTGCATTGAGCTCAATCAACATAATTTGTTGCTCATTTATCGGCAAACAATATCTCGATAGCTGCCTGGCAGTGTCACCTTCGTGGGACAGCAATTTCCTTCCGAAGCAGTGTGTGCACGGAATACTTATTTATAGCACGCTCTCTCAGTACGCCACCAAAGCTGTCATAATGCTCAATAATGAAAAATGAAAATTTTATCATAAATTGACAAATACTTATTTAAGCGTGTTCGCTGTGGTGTGTGTGAGTGCAAGTTTGCGGAACTCATCGAATTTGTCTAGTATAATTTGTATGCTGGTAAAAATTTGTGACGGCTGTCTCCCTCTCATATATACAATATTTTGCAACAGTTGTGGTGAAAAAAAAAAACTGGGGCCTCTTTAGTGCCAAACTATGAAAGTTCGAGAACTTAATTTAGGGATAGTAAAAAATATGAACCGGTTGTAAAACCATTAAAAAATATAGTCGGTTCGGCTTACCAGTTTCGGCGGTATTTGTACTTTGAGATTGTTTTTGGCTTTTTGTCTCTGAACTTGAATTTTTGGTCGGTTTGCGTTTTAATATATCGTAAATTAAGTAATAACTTTAAATAAAAATCGATGAGTCGGCGCTATATAGTTATAGTTCGTTAAAGTTATTCTTATTTCATGGAGGTTGGAATAATCTATCCTCATAGATCACCAAAAAATTAACCAATTCAAATAAGAATTCTTCGACGTATTTTAAAAATTAAAAACATTATATGATTTTAAGTAAATAAAGTAAGAAGGTCCACGCTGTTTGAAACACCCAAAAGGTATAACACCAGGAAATGGTTTATATATATGTCCGTCCGCCTGTCTGTATATACACAAACTAGTCCCTCAGTTTTTGAAATATCGATCTGAAATTTCGGCTCCTCCCTTTTATCCCAAAGAAGCTGCTTATTTCTTGGAATTGCCGATATCGGACCACTATAGCATCTAACTGCCATAGTAATTGAACGATCAAAATCATGTCCTTGTATGGAAAACTTTTTTAGTTGACGAGATATCTACACGAAATTTGGCATTGATTATTGTTCTAAGCAGCGGTGCAGTCCCCGAAGAAATTGTTCAGATTTGATTGCTGTAGCATACAGTTGTCATACAAAAGCAAGTTCTTATATGCAATCACATATAGAAAGTGAAAGGTTTTTATGAAAACTTATTGTGAATTAATTTTTGAAAAATTGTTTGAAAGGAAAAGCTATAACTTCACAGGACATCAATTATGTTTCAATTATACAATTAAGGTTAGAAAGCTATTTTGCATGGTTGCTTAAGTTAAATTTTAAAGTCAAAAGTTAATGAAGAGTCATATTTTCTAAAAACATGTCGGAGAGCAAAGCGCATTAAATTCCGCCTAGGAAAAGAACCGAAATATTGGGAAGTGATGAGGATAAAATCGTACTGGATGGTTTAATCAGGTTTAGATAGTAAGTATGTACAGGTTGGTTGAAAAGTGAGTACTGTTCACCAAGAAATAGCACTACTAGCTCCAACATTTTTTTTTACTCAAGTTGGTATATCTGTCTTGAGAACACATACAAAGTTACAAGTCATTCTGTCAATTAATCCTTTGTTTACAAGCTATTTGAAGTTGACGTGTCAGAGTACTTTTTTAATATGAAAAAATTTAATATCGCGCAGTGATTAGATTATTTGTTTTGAAAGGTTTAAAAGCAAAGAAAATTTATGCACAAGTGTTAGAAATGTATAAGCAGTCCTCACCTTCAAAACGCATCGTTGAATTTCAGGCTGGTAAATTTAAACGTGGTTTTACTAGGCTTGAAGACGATCCACGCGAAAGACCACCAAAAACCGCAACCACACCAAAAAGTTCGTAATATTATTAGTAAAGTTCCAAGTTTGACTAAGCGTGAATTGCTAATGTCATAGGCATCTCAGACGAACAAGTACTTTGTATTTTACATGGAGAATTACATGTAAAAAAGCTGTTTGGAATGTTAGTGCCGCACACAGTAACAATTCAACAAAAACGGGATTGTAAACAAATATCTCTGTATATTTGGAGCGTTTTAAGCAAAATAAAACCGATTTCTTGCCTCGTTTTATAACCATGGATAGGATGTGGATCTAACTTCACGATCCTAAATTTAAATAAGAGCGTTTATAGTGGACTGCAGCTGGTTGTTCAGCTTCAAAGCAGGTGAAGTCACAACGATCAGCAAAGAAAGTCAAGGCATCAGTTCTTTGGGATGTAAAAGAATTTTATTGATTCATTATTTGCAGAAAAGTAAAACAATCAACTCTGAATACTATTGCAGTCTTTGAATCAGCTGGATGAAAAATTCGTGAGAAAAGACCTGGTTTGCAACACAAAAAAATCATTTTCCATCAAGACAATGCACTAGCTCACAAACGTGTTTTAACAATGACAAAATTCATCGAATTAAAGTGCCAATTGCTTGAGCATCCACCGTATTCACCAGATTTGGCTCCCAGACACTACTACTTCTTAAGCCAGAAACATTTCCTTTGTGGAAATCGTGTTTTGTCGAATGAAGAAGCTATTACAGCCGTAGACGGGTATTTTGCAGAGCTTCCGGAAAGTCATTATAGGGATGGCATAAAATTATTGGAGGATCATTGAAATAGGGTTCAGGATTATGCGGATTTTTTTATCTGCATGTGTGCGTTTGGATTTGTAATTACAGAATAATAAGTTTTCTTAGAAAAAAATCAAATGTCGTTTTTATCACAGACTTACTGCTTTTATGTTGAACGCCACTGTATGTACTATATATTGCTTATGTTGCTATTGATGGTGTCGCTCGCAGCTAACCGCCGCAATAGACAATAATAAAAGTTTATGCAAGTGTTTCAAATTTAATTAAAAATGGAACTTTCAATTGCCAGATGCTTATGAACAAATAAGAGGATTTGGCGTGTGCTTTGACGCCTGCTCATGATTAAGTCAGTTTTTAATTTTATTAAGAAAAGTAAGAGCGCTGTTAAAGCATAAATATTTACAACTACTTTCGTTATTGAGTTAATTAAGTAAGCTTCTCAGTCGTATTTTATGTGGTTATTTTAAGAAATGTGGCCAAAAGTAAGATAATTAACATAAACATTTTGTTGTTATAATTTAAACAGCTAAAGCACCCCAAAAACAACAATTTGAAAAGTTAGTTTAAACACTTCAGCTAAGAGATAGTACCACACATTGTTTGTTAATAAAACTTTATATAATTTACAAATTTATGCGTTAAGCGGCTCAATGGTCTAGGGGTATGATTCTCGCTTTGGGTGCGAGAGGTCCCGGGTTCAAATCCCGGTTGAGCCCAAAATACTTTTTTAATGGCAGAATATTGATTTGTAATATTGGTAAAATTTAGACAAAACTGATTTGGTTGGAACCGATCAGCAATCTATCATTCAGCGAGGTTAGCTTAGAAATAGTCAAGAGATATACTACAGTATTAATTTAGACATACGTATGCACATACGGAACACCAGTAAAAAATAAAACAGTAAAATTTTAGTCGGATGAATTTTACCGCCCCGTAGATTTTCTCTGCCAGATAAAATTTAAATGTATAATGAAAGATTTCCACATATTATAATAATTTTAATTATTCTGATTTCCAAACAATTGTTTGTAACACCTAAAACTAATCGAGGTAGATATAGTGTTATAGAAACTCATACTTATGTATTAAAATGATTAGAATGACGAAACCAATTAATTTCATAATATCTAAATTTGGTACCTGTTTTCTTGAAAGGTTGATATTAAATTGGTAATATTAGGCAATTTGATTTGTGGTTAAAAAAATATATAGAGGTATATAGAGGTACTTTTAAACATTGCATTGAAACTTTTTTACTGGATCAATCGATTCGTAGAAAAAATCGATTGTAAGAAAATCCTCCTAATAATAATAAATTATTTTAGTTAATTTAAGAAAAGTTTATAAATCTTTCTTCATATGTACATCTATATTCCAATAAAATAAACTGTCCGTCGTATTAAATGTTATTTTAGAAACCTCAACCTTTTAACTAGTAAAAGAAATGCTATAATACTAATAGATTTGGAAAAATTGGTGATCAGTTTCTTTTTTAAATCGACTATATTTCAAAATTGGTAGGACATAACGATCGTAATTTCTGTCTTATTTTTAACACATTTATTTGAAATATAAAATGAAAGCAAACTTTATTTGAATCACACATAATAAAAAGGTGTTGTTAACATGAAAACTATACTGTTAGGATAACCTACCAGAGCAACGCTTAGCGATGTCGATGCAGCCGCACTAAAAATTGTTAGCGGGTATTGATTTGACAGTATATTAATATACATGTTGGTTTAAAAGTTTCGGCGCTCGAAATGAAAATATTTTTGGTACGAAATATATATTTTTATTAAATATAATCGCCCTAAACTTTAATACTTCTCCAAATAATTTCATGCCATCCCTATAATGACTTTCCGGAAGCTCTGCAAAATACCCGTCTACGGCTGTAATAGCTTCTTCATTCGACAAAAAACGCTTTCCACGAAGGAATAGTTTCAGGTTTCTGAAGAGGTAGTAGTCGCTGGGAGCCAAATCTGGTGAATACAGTGGATGCTCAAGCAATACGTACTTTAATTCGTCGAATTTTGTCATTGTTAAAACACCTTTGTGAGCAGGTGCATTGTCTTGATGAAAGTTTTTTTATTTGTGCTGCAAACCAGGTCGTTTCTCACGAATTGTTTCATCCAGTTGATCCTGAAGGCTGCAATAGTAGTAGAGTTGATTGTTTTACTTTTCTGCAAATAATAAATCATCAAAACTCTTTTTGCATTCAAAAAAACTGATGCCATAATCTTCTTTGCTGATCGTTGTGACTCCAGCTGCTTTGCTTTTTGATCGTGGAGCTAGATCCAAATCTCATCCATAGTTATAAAACGACGCAAGAAAACAGTTTTATTGTACTTAAAACGCTCAAAATTATGCTGAGAAATTTGTTTGCGATCCAGTTTTTGTTGAATTGTTAACGTGTGCGGCACTAACTTTAAAACCAGTTTTTTCATATTTAATTCACCATGTAAAATATAAAGTACTCGTTCGTCTGAGATGCCTATGACATTAGCAATTTCACGCCTACGCCAAACTTGGATCTTCATTAACAATATTATGAACTTGCTCAATAATTTCTGGTATGGTTGCGATTTTTGGTCGTCCTTCGCGTGGATCGTGTAAATTCACGAGCCCAGAATTCAACGGTGCGTTTTGAAGATGAGGACTCCTTATACACTACTAACCATTGTGCTGCGCGATATTAAATTTTTTCCATATTAAAAGAATACTCTGACACGTCAACTTCAAATGGCTTGTAAACAAAGAATTAATTAATTTGCATGTGTTCCCACGACCAACTTGAGCAAAAAAAAAAAATTGAAAAAGAGATTTGAACCACTTCTACCGCCACTACCATAACGGTCAGTAAACTTTAAAAAATTCCAATTTTAATGAAATTTTGTGGCTAGCTTAAACGCCTACCGCATAAACAAATGTTCCAGAAAAACTGAAAGGTTTTAAAGGTATTTTTCCAGAGTTATTAAGATAAGAGCCAAGTATCGAAAATTCCTTTTATGGGGTTGGAGGTAGTCAGAATTTTCGAAAAATCGAATTATGCATTTTTTTAAGTAAAATATCTTAGAAATATTCTTTGACAATTTTGTGTAAAATTTCAAATGCATTTTTCTCAGAACTATGTGTTTTGAACTAGTAACCGCTGTAGCTCGAAAGCCGCTCGGTAGATTTCAATGAAATTTATACAGCTTTTTGAAAACTAGTGCCTGATAAAAGGATTTTTTTTAGACAATTAACTTACTTTAAAAATTATTAATTCCTTTTTTTAATTTCTGGCAATGCATTTTTTTAATTAATGCAATTTACTTTTATAATTTACTTTTATAAAATAAGTTAATTTACTGGCAAAAAAAAAAAAGTATTGTCACTTTTTCACGTCTCTGTTTACAACTAACTCCTTGTTTGACTATTCGAAAAATTGGGTGCTATATGGATTGAAGCCAAGAGCCGCTGTAAAATGATTTGGCATGTAAAAAATGTTTTTTGAATGCTACAAAAAAAAGTCGTTTTTGCAACGCATTATCTCTGGTGAGGAAAACTGGATCTAAGGTCTTTGTAGGTTTAGTGGGATCAGAAGGTTGTGCTGTATTAAGTGCTTCTAAAACCGGGTAAAACATTAATGGGAAACGCTAGAGACAACAACTTATCAAATTGAAGCGACAGACTGCCGAAAAACGTCCGAATTCGCGACAAGACACGAGGTAATAATTTGACTACCATTTGTTCCAGTCGATTCAGAAAGGCCTCACTAAAATAACGTTCATATCAGCATAGGGTATTAAAAATTGGCTCGATTCATTCTTGGCCGTCAAGCCGGCTTAGCTCTTTTGGGGTGGAATACCCAAATTGCAAGAAAGAAACTGGTAATGTTTCAGATGGGCAATACTTTAAATAATACTACTGTAAATGTTTTTCTTTAATAAATCGGACAAATTTTGAAGAAATAACGCACGAGCATTAGAGTGGTGAAAAAAACGAATATTCTTAGACACCTCTAAGAAAGGCTCTTTAAGTATGAGTTCTTAATTGTAACGGAAAGGTCCTGTTATACATTTTTTTATTTTTTTCTTATTACATGATAAAAAAAATTCAAATCTTGTTCCAACTGCTTAAAAAACTTTCGTTTCATAGGTTTTATAGGAAATTTAATGCTCTACAAAACGGTCTTAACAATTTTGTTGCAAACCTAACCCTTTAAAAAACATTACCGGCTGAAGTTTGATTATTTTAGGGCAAATTTGTTTATTTTTTCATTTAATTTTATTACTCAATGATAAAAAATTATTATTAACAGAATTAAATTATTATAAATCGGAAAGCTCATAGTTTTGTACAAAATTTACCGCTCTACAAATTTTATATTTATTATTATATTATAAATCTCACCTTTCGATTTTATAATGTCTTTCTGCTTTGAAGTCGTACAACTTTCGCTCACACATGAACTTTTTTATATATGTTCACCGTAATTAGTTTTTTTTTTGTTAGTTCGTTAACGTTTTTTATACAATACCAGATTTTTTGTTTTTTGATTTTATTTCGTATTTTTATTTATTTTTGCGCAGATATTCTTCGAAAATATAACACAATCGCAACTAAGTTGCTTCTTCTTCTGTTTCCGTTTTTTAATTTTGTAAATTACAGTCTTCAATTTGAAAAATCAGTCATTTATGCCAATTAGTTGCAATTAAATTGCATTTTATTAAACTCAAAAACTCATCACAGTTGACACTTAATCAAAGATAGATAGTCTTACACACACGATATAAGGATATCAGGAAAAAAAAAAACACAATCAGTCATAAATTTTATACACCACGAACAAGGCCACTACACGAAAAACACTTAATTATTTATGACTCACATTAACTTCCGGCAACAAAACGGCCAAATAAAAATACACCACACATAGCACATATCGCAAAAAATTAACACCCACTTAAATATCCATTAACCAGTTCACGTTTCGCAGCACAGATGGGCAAAATACACATCAACCTCAACGTAGTAGGTGTGGAAGAAGCGGTGCGTGCGAATTTGTTGCGTCGCGTTGATATCAAAGCCGGAAACGGACACATACGGTGATAAGGTTGATGTTGTTGACGGCATAAGCAGCCCAACTGCTGGCCAGCAGAGCAAATGACACCAGTCATGCTTTAGGCCGTTGGGGAGAAAAAATTAAATACTATCGTGCCTACTCGGAGGTTGTGCAAGTATCCGCGAACCGCATGCGACACGCGTTCACACAGCAACGAAACGGACGGTGTTAATAACGACCGATTTGGGAGCTGTCGTGCGATGAAATGCCAATTCAACGAATGCCACACATTGGACAGACCCACGAAAATCCAGCAGACAACACTGACTGACTGGCAGCTGGATTTGTGGGCATGAGGACACAGCCACTTACGAACTGCGGCAGAAGCACCAGCAGGAGCAGCACAATGTACGCACAGACAAAGCTACAAATGTATTGTACGTAAGTAGTTCGTGGCATAGACATAGGGGTACACCGTTAAAATACAATAGTATGAAACAACAAAAAGATAAACAGAGCAACAAAAATCAAAATATATAAGTTTAATACGGGGAACGTACGAACAACCCTCCGAAGAACGATTCTCATGCGAAAAACGAAATCAAAAACTAAATAAATAAATGCAAAAATCAAAACAAAATAACCAAGCATAACAACAAAAAAAAAACAATATAGCTATAAACTCACAGCAACAACAACTCAACGCAAAGCAACAGTGGTTGGGGCAAAAGTAAAACAATGCTGAGCGCAATATTCTTCCCCCGTGAGTATGCAGAGTGTTTAAATAGCAGGGCGATATTTTTGGGTGAAAAATCGCGCCAGCATCAGTATCACGTGGTGTTGATCGAATTAAAACCTAAAGCAAGTGTAACTTTGTTATTGTAATCGAATTGTGCGGCAACAGCACGTGCTAAACACGTTTCGAGAGAGCCGAAGCCCTAACCCTAGAAGAGCGCAACGTGCAAAAGTCGCAAAGTTATAGAACGCGCCAAAAACGTTATGAATGAAAGTTGTTGGAAATGAATTACTGCGCATGTCCTTGAACACTGCAATTGCACGAATTCTACCGAAGGAAATTGTCGCGAAGCAAATTTCGTTTCAGTTGGAGTTGAATATTGTGGAGAAGCGGACACGCAGATTAAAAATTCGCAATCTTTCGTTCTTGTGTGGCATAAATTCGTAAATGATAGTAAAATTCAAATTACTTATATTTTTTTTTTGTTTTGACATTTCAATTTTACTGTATGCTATAGAATATTACTGCGAATTGGCATAGTAACTGGATTGCCATATTAGAAGGTGTAATGTACATTACTAATATTTGATATAGTTTTTACAAAAGTTTTACAACAGCAATCAACGGCTAAACCTGCAGATAGGAACTTCTTAAGTATTTAAACAGCGTTTTTTTGATGAAGCAATAAAATAGGGCATCCTCTTAATTTTTATTTAATTATTATTACTATTTTGTGAAAGTGGTACATTTTCCCTTTATTTTAATTAAATTTCATTTGTTGTTTTTCGTAAAAGCTAAGTAGGTAGTCGTCTCAAGTTTCGAATTTTATTCAAGATAGAAATAAATTTAAAGCTTTGATATTATTGCATGTTTTTCGATTATTTCAAATTAAGAGGGCATTTTGGCTCATTTTGTTCTTTTCAACTTGTTGTAATGAGCATACTATTTAAGGAGACTCTATATAATTATGGCCTCTATATTTGCGAAAACTATTTGTATTTGTAAAAATGTGTATAAAAATGACGAACTCTTAAGATATAGAAACTATATATCAGTATCTCTTTTAGTGTATAAGAGAGCAAGCCTTGTAGAAAGTAGTTTGATGTTAGCAAGATGAAAAAAAGCTTAAGCTAAAGAAAAAAAATTTTAAGGACTGTGTTTTAGAGATATGGCTTTCAAGAAGTATAAAGATAAGGATTTGTCATTATGTTATCTGCGTAGACAAGCGACTTCACATAACTTCACGACAAATAGTTCAGCGGTGTTAAATCGCATGATCTTGGCGGCTATGCCACAGGTCCAGGATGCGAGATAAAGCGCTCACCAAAAGTTTCCTTCAATAAATTGATTGTTTCGTTGGCTGTATGGTATGTAGGGCCGTCTTGTTGGAACCAAAGGTCGTCCACATCAACATCCTCCAATTCTGACACAAAGAAATCATTAATTATGGCTTTATAGCGGTCCTCATCGACAGAAACATTATGGTCGGCTTCACTTTTAAAGAAGTATGGACCAATGATTCCCTCAATAGCTTGGATATTATCATCCCTACAAATGTGATAATTTTTTTTATGAACGTACCCATTCAAGCAAAAGTGAGCTGCATCGCTGAACAAAATATTCTTGTGAAAATGCGGATCGGTAAATTGTGGCTCTAAAAGAAACGATAAAAACTTATGTTATATGGGCAATTTGTTATAAGAGCGAAACTCTTCTTACTTATCTTATTTTACGCTCCTTTCTTAACCCTTAAAAGTCTGATAACTTTGACTGATTTATTTAAAATATTGTATTATAACATTTGTTCTATGACTTTTATTAAAAATTATTCTTTTAAATTTTACAGGTTGTTTATTGGTTGGTCCTTTGAGAAGCCACTAGCTGCTCATCAGAAATACATTTTAAGTATACATATATTTTCACAAAAATCCATATTTTATTGAAATTGGATTAAAACGATTAGTAACTGATAAAAGATACATTAGTGAGTATGAAAACCTAGAAAATAATTTTGCTGTGACGATAAACGAAGAGATATACCACATTTTATGCAATAAATTTGCGTACGTGGGTATTGATGAGCATCCGATGGTTCCTCAAGGGACCATGTAAGTTTTATTTCATATATATAATAATTTTCCTTGAAATTATTTTTTCGATGTACTCTTACTCAAGTCAAAACGTAAATCACTACAAGGACTCACACACAAGTGTCAACCGAAAAAGTTCAATAAGCCAAACGACAAAATCGAAAAAAAAAATTTTTTTTCAAAGTGTTCAACGCCCACCAATCATCCACCTGGTGTAATGGTTTGGTGGGGAGTCTCCTGTAAAGGGGTTACATTTCCTTACTTCAGTTAAAAAAGAGCGTGGTAAAGCAGTTAAGCAATACTCTATTCGATGGAGAGCATTGGATTTTCTAGCAAGATTCTGCTGTAGCACAAAAGTCTATTAGCAGTAGCTTAAAAGCAATATTCCTGGTAGAGATGAAGTCGCCGGCTGGAAGTCCAGTTTTGAATTCATTGGACTACAGTTTGTGGTCAGAGTTGGAGAACATGACGTGTCGAATACCCCACAAAAATTTCGAAAGTCTCAAGAAATCTTTGGTGGGAACAGCGTCGTCAATACCAATAGAAACTCTGTGTGCTGCTTGCTATTGATTAATGGTCGAATCGTTTTAGGAATTGTGTAAAAGCAAAAAGGTGGCCATTTCGATTAATATTTTTATACATATGTACATCGCTTATTTAAAGTATGTATTATTAAAAAAAATTACTTTTTTTTAAATGTAATCTACATACTTGTAATTTCATTTTTGTAACAGAATTTATGGCAGGACTAAATATAACTTTTAAACACTGCTAATGTTTGATAATTTCACCAGTAGGAAGCAAATTTAGAAATCTATCCTTATTTTAAACAACTTATTTACTTAGTTTACTCAACAAGTAATAATTCGCGCATAACGATCTCAAATCTGGAAATTTCTGAAATTTACGTATCGAACAAACAACTGGTATAATTAAAATATACTGGTATTATCAACTATGGTAGACATAGTAGAGCAAGCGGAGTTGCTACTTCATTCGGATGTGTGCGAATTTAGCAATTCCAGCCATGTTATTAAGATACATTGTGACCAGAAAGTTTCCGGAAATTGTCATTTAAACTGCCCACGCTAAATATTCTTCAGCACTTTTTTTGTTAAGTTGGCAGCACTGTCCTTAATTACTATGTCAAAAATGAGCGTGATCTGTCAACCAGTTTGTTGGCAGCAGCTGTTAAAATCAGTCGACCACAGTAGTGTTTTGCAATTTTTATAATAGAAAAATAAAAAAATATTGAACAAAGAATTTGCATCAAATTTGGTCTTTCTGTTAGAAAAGGCTTATGGTGAATTTATTCTATCGAAAACCAAAGTATATGATTGGTACAAAGCCTTTAAGGATGGTCGAGAAACCGTCGAAGACATGCCTCGTTCCTTCGACGTCCACCACCGACGATAACATCAAAAAAGTGAAGGGAATCGTGCTCAAACATCGCTATGCGAGTGTTAGAGAGATACCACGTAAGCTAAACATCGGCCGAGAAGCAGCTCGTTTGGTTTTGACTGATAATTTGGGCATGAGACGCTCGGCTTGTTCCAAAAAAGCTGAATTTTTTGCAAAAAGACCATCGTGTGCAACGATTTTATGACCCGTTCCCACGACAGTCGGGTCTACGTAACCGGAACGGACCCGGATTTATTCCGGCCAAGGACTGTCAACTCGGCAGAATTCTGCCGCTACAACAACAACAACAACGATTTTATGACCAAAAACTCGTTCAATACCTTCGATCATCCAGATTTGGCCCCATGCGATTTTTTTTTTGTTTCTAAAACTCAACTTATCACTCCGTGGAACCCGTTTCGACTCGATTGAGGCCGTAAAAGAAAATTCGCAGAGGGAACTGAAGGCTATCCTGTGCCTACAATGCATGTTTCGATGATTGGAAAAAGAGGTGGCATATGTGTATCGCTTCAGAGGGAGCATATTTTGAAGGCGACAAAATAAATATTGATGAAGATTATAAAATTTTCGTTTTATTTACAATTTCCAGAAACTGGTCTGGTCGGCTTGAAAATTACAAAATTTTAGCTAAATTCTTTTTTTTTTACAAGGAAATATAATGCCTTTAGGCCACAAATTTACCACCGCCATCACACGCTTTCTTTGCTACCAAAACCAATAAATTGTGCAATACTTGGTGCTTCTTTTGTTGTTTTCCTTCAACTTCGGCGAGTTGACATAAGAAATGCATATTTAGTCGAGTGTTAATAATGCCATCCCAAATGAATTTAGAAGCGTCAACTAACGCGGGCTAAAACTGAAGAATGTAGCTACGTGCATATGTATGTATGGTTTGATTTTTTTTGCATGCCCTGGCCTTATTTTTTCATGCGCCGCACACACCGGCGTGTGGATAAATTTTCTTTCGACTCTTTTTTTGCGCCAACCCTGCTCCTTTTGGAGGGGTGTACATTTTTTTACCTCACTTTTTATTTCTTTGCTCTGCAACTTAAGGTGAAAGTTTGCACAGCTGATAATTTTGTTATTCAAAATGGTGTCTTCCTGCTGTCGTCTTGAATTTTCCTTCACCGACTGTTGCTGCTGAAGGTTTGGCGTTGGTTGAGGATTACTTTTGGATATACTGTGAGCGAGGATGAGTTATGCGCTGACAGTAAATTGCAGGCGGCTAGCAATTGGATATTTGATTTTTTTTAATATATATATTTTTTTTGGTGGAAAAGTCGTGACGTTTATTTATTTCCGTATTCTTTTCTTTTACTTAGTAGAAGCGGAAGCGGCGCGCATCTTATTGTCATACTCGAAAGGAAGTTGATTTCATTTCTGCATTTGCTTAACGCCGGCCTTAAGAAAGTAGTATAAATAAATGTCGTCTGGCCATTGGCGTAGACTATAAATACAAATTTGAATTTCAGCGCAGCATTTGGTTTTGAATATTTTAATTTAAAATCATAATTAAAGAAAAAGGATATCCGCGATTTTTCATTAACTTGCAGCACCGTGCTGACGCAGAGCGTTCCCGTGCCAGCGGCAAGCATTGGTAAATGGCTAAAACACACACAAGCGCATTTGTGGCCAGTAAATAGTATGTATGTATGTTTGTATGTTGGCGTTGTGGAATAATGCAAACAAGTTTTGTTTATTTTTAATTTGCAGCGAGTACGTTTGAGAAAATAAATTAAACATGATTTTACCAACCGCCGCTCAAACACTCTGGCTGGCATATAGAATACTCACATCCACACAAGATGTTGTTGTCAGTCTAATACACGAGTGTGTAGGCGATTAGAGGGGTGCAATATGAAGCGAAGAAGCCAGCGCGTAGAATAGCCGTTTGTAACATAATCAACGATACAATTCGATGAAACATAATAAAAATGTCAGTATCAGTAACAGTAGTAGCCGCAAGTGGAAGGACATCACGTAGCAAAGGCGTCAATTGGCTTCAATTCGTAGTCCAACTAACAAGAAAAAAATGCGCAAACAAACGTAACATGCACACAAAGGCTATTGAAAAACTTTGACAGCAGCTAGTCGCACGGAAACGACAAAACCTCTAAAGTCCAAAAATGAAAAAAGACAGGCATTAGAATACACAAAATGCACACGAAAAATGCAAAGGTAAAATAAGAAAATGGTCCATAGCATCTAAACAGCCCTGGGCTATATGCTATAGCAAGCAGTTGGGATACAAGGGTGTAAGGAGGTAGTAGGGGGGCAACGTTTGAGGCTATTATACTGAGGAGGCTGAAAATTTATGTGTTAATTTTCATTCACACCTTAATACTTTAGTGGCCATTTATAAAATATTGCTGTTGGGGAGCTATGTACTCATATACGAAGGTGGGTTAAGCAGTTACTAAAATATTGTTTTTTTATCGCAGTATGTTTGCGTAGAATGTGTTCAATCCTTAAACATCTTGAAAATAGACGGCCAATACGGGTGATAAATAGAGGTTCTACATTAGTGTTAAGACATTTCAACATGTTCATTGGGGTTTCGAATGTCGGAGTGGCTTTTTTATATGTAAGGGAGGTATGTGGTTTATATGTAAGGTAGTAAACTCGTAACTTGGTTTGGAAACATTTACTTTTTTTCGAAAATATTTTATAACGAAAATCGACATATTGACGAAGTTATAGCACCTATACGTAAGCGTCTCGTAGTATTTCGAAACCGGAGAAGGACGCAGTTTATGTTTATAAAATTGCCAGAAGGAGTCGCAGGTCAGAAAAAATGACTTATAATGAAGCCTATGAAGTAGTTGAAGGTTTATTATTGACTCCAGGGATAGACGATTGGTATGTAGTATGCTTTGTCTATAATAATAAATATAACATATTTAATCTGTTGTTGAAACTTTTAACGCGTTTATCTCGAAACAACGTTCTTACGTACAGCCCGGATAACAAAAAAACTTTCTATCTAACCGGGCTGAAATTTTAATAAGTTATTCTACCTATCAATAGCTTAAATGCTTATAGGAACTACGATTTTTTTTATCGCTAACTTTCCATTTTACAGCCCGATATCTACTTAAAAAAATATCACTTTTTTTCGAAGTCAGCCATTATTTTATTTTTCAACGAAATTGTTTAAACCATTCATCCAATGAATGAGTTAATGAATCCAGAATTAATCCTCAAGCGACCAAATAACCCCATTTTTTTAGACGCTCATTTTAGCAAACAACAAATTTCAAATAAAAAAATGGCAAAGAGTTTTTTTGTATACTCTGAGATACTAGTAATAATATAATATATTACAAAATGAGACTGATTGAAATTTATTTTTACCAAATAAAATATTCCCAAAAAGCATTAAAAAGTGCAAGAGTCCATTAAGCTAAATAATATTGCACATAATATTTTTATCAACATTTTACTGCAGTTTTTAGTCAGATTTAAGATTAGTTTTCGATTCTTTTTGAATTTCAAAAGCGACGTATACGTAACCAAACCGAGCCTGAAGTTATAACCGGTTATCACCTCAATAAAATTTTTGAGAAATACTCTTTTGCTGATACCTATAACAAAAATTTGTATTTTATTATAGAAACTTTAGAATGGAGCGAGAATTTCTGCACAGATAGATATTGTTATTGCATTTTGAGGCTGTAATGTTAAAAGCCAAGTAATTTTCTATAGAAAATGATTTTTTGATCAAATATAAATAAATTTTGACAGTTTCGAAACCAATAAATAAGAAAAAAAAACCAAGTTCGACGCCAACAACGATGCACAGTGGTCGATCATCGGTGTCTTTTAAGATTATAGAATGAATACAATTTGGCATGAGCTCATGTTCATCTTTTTTTGTTTTATAGAATATTTAAACAAACAAAAATTAAGGTAAAAAAAATATTATTTACCAAATTTCTTCAAACCGAAAGGATTTGCAGCGACCCACTTATGCAGCTCTTAAATTGGTATTGTTACTTTAGAGTTTTCCTACCAAATTTTGTGTAAGGGGGTTGATGGTAAGGAAGTTTTCTTGAAATATGCGCAAAAGGTGCAAATGAAAGCCAAGAGGCAGATGAAGTTGTTCAAATACAGACGTCAGTGAAACACAAGGAGGGTATAAAATTAAAAAAAAAATGAGCGCGATAATAAATGAGGTAATAATAAACAAAATGACCTTTTGAGTGACCACTGCTGTGCAAATAACTTAAAAATATTGCAAACTTTTAACAGGTATGCGGGCCAACGATGAATGCCATAAGATATGTATGTATGTGTGGATATATGTATATGCTATATGTCTAAAACAGCCGTTTCAAATTATTTGTTACGTTTTTGTTCTTCTTTATATATGTAAGCATTATTCTTTAGATTTTCAACGTCATTTGTTTATTATTAATTTCTTTGGAGTTTTTCTGGTTTGATGTGGGTTGGCCTTTTTTCAACAACGGTGAGCGTTCTAATTTTTTAACATGCAAAATTAATTGCGTTAATTTCAGGAATGTGTTTTTTCTATTTACTACACTTTTTTTTCATGAATACTATGTATATGTGAAGCACTCAGGAATTTTAATAAATTACCTTTTGTTACCGTTGGAAAAATTTTTGCCGACTTTGTTTTCCTTGTACAGTGGCATTGAAAAAAAAACAGCGGACATGCATATTGAAATTGTTTTAGCAATTATCGATAAAAGTCTGGTTTCGTTGAACTCATAAAGTGGTAAGGCGATGAGGATTTGTTAAAAAAAAAAACAGGCGTGTAAATTGAATTCCCACAAGCCGCATGTGAAGGTATTTCTACCGCCGTGAAAAATCGTACCTTTCACATTGACTGGCTAAGTAAACATTGTAATGTTGGTATGTGTGAAAAAATGTAGTAGCCAACGTCATACCATAGCTGAAAGTCGTAAAGGACACTTGAGTCGAAGGCCAATAGGCTAGCATGTGCATGTGTGTGCAAGTTTTCCATAAGAGTATAAGAGTGGCGTAGAAAGAATGTATGAAATGATGAGCATAGCACTCGCACTCATCCGTACTATGTGTTAGCTGATGAACCACAACTTTGAGATTTGCATAACTTGGAGTTTGAGAGTTTTGTTTTTTTTTTTTGAATTTGCTTGAATTTCGTATTACAATCAATTGTCCACACACTGTGTATATGTAAGAAATCGCAAAATGGAAAAATTGAGGACTAATAATAGATATGTTGGTGTAAAAAAAAGAGTTACTGCAGAGTGGACAGCTTACTTTACATTAGCCCATCTCCATTTGAACTCAGTCTACAGCATGTGGCGCTCATTTGCTGGAAAATTGAGTTGAGCAACTCATGCAAAATCTACGATTTGAAGTAGTAGTGAGGCTTCAGACATTTATCCTGCGGTCAAGATGCTTGCAATCTGTTAGTTTTCAAAAAAAAAAATTTAAAAAAAAATTGGCATTCTAGACACAGACAAACAACGTTGGCATGTTTTCCTGTTACACATTGATATTTTGTATTTTTTTGCTTGTGCTCTTAACATTTTTTACAGCCGTAGTTAATTGTGGTTTTGTCTTAATCGCCAGTATTGCGGGAAATTTGAAGCTTGTTGTGTTAGCAAGATGAATTAAGTTGCCTAAAGCTAAATGTCTTCTATGATTCAGTTCACGAAGGAATGTGAGGAGGTTGAGTTACAATTTTTCAAATTCTGTAAAATTTGCGTACATACATACAATGCATGTAAACATGTACACACACATACATATTACATTCGCAGGCGGCCAACAGTTAATATCCTTACACATATACTGCTGTGACTATTACAAATCATTTGGTTTGGAAACAAATCGACACGTTTTAGCCATTTTCAATATACAATATTTCTTTTACAACAGCTGCTACATTGAAAAGCTATAACACGGTGGTTCCAAACGAAAAATTCATCGTTATGACTGGCGTTACATATGATGGGCAACACATGTGGATACAAAAAAAAAATAATCATAATAAAACACACACACAAAAACAAAAACAATTCGCCTACTTATGAGCGCATAAAAGCAAATATTCAAGCTATATTTTATGTGCTGTTAAAATTTTCCGTAAAAAAATATGAAATGGAGATGGGAAGGCACTAGTACGCAAGTGTTGTGCATGGGCTGAGGAAATCTCAACAGCCACTTAAAAAAATTGTTGAGGTAGCATTTTTGGCGCAACAACAAGGATATATGCGAAAGCAGAGAAGCTGGTGAATACGAAAAAAAGTAAAAATATCCTCGCATGCTTTTAATATCAGTTATGTTATTATGGTGACACCAAGCAGTATTATGGAGTTGTGATAAATAGGAATTCGGCTGCCACCAGACATCGCAGCTTGTAAAAAAGTCTAAAAATAAAATACTTGTATAATTTGTTTGGGTCGCATCGCAAGTCCTTTGGCTTTGTTTAAGTGATATGGGCCTCGTTGCGTCTCTCTAGCGTTGATGGTTTCCGATTATATTAATACTTTGCATGTTTTCGTCGTTTAATGAAGGAAGCTGGAAAGCTGCTAAATAAGCGACACATACATTTTTTATTTATATATATTTGTTTTAAAACCAATTTATTTTAATTAGAAAAAAACTGTATAGGGTGATATAATTTTGTTATAAAAATTAAATTTTTTCCAGATCTTTTAGTTTAAATGTATAGTTTAGTACTTATGTAGATAAATTTCGGGAAAATCCTCACTTCACTAGAGAGATTCTCAATCCTGTGAAAGAAATCCTACGCTTCTTTAAGCCTATGACCACCCCATAACATATCGGGTGCTTTATATACATTTTAATTCGTTTGTTTCTATATTATAGGGGAAAAAAATGTTCGCCAGTTTAACAAATTAATAAAATGTTAAACAAAACAAAAGTTAAGCTATAATACCCTTCACAAATAAAAAAGTTACCATACAAGAAAAATTTCATTAATATATATCTTGTTAAATAAAAAAGTTTTCTCTACAAGAACTTGATTTTGATCGTTCAGTTTGTATGCCAGCTATATGCTATAGTGTTCCGATATCGGTTGTACCAACAAATGAGCAGCTTTTTGTGGAAAAGAGGACGTGTACAAGACTTTAGATCGATATCTCAAAATCTGAGGGACAGACTAGTTCGCGTATATACAGACGATGCTGATCATTAATATATATTTTTTATACGGTTTCCTTCTGGGTGCTACAAACTTTATGACTATCTTAATATACGCTGTTCGGGGTATAAAAATTTCGCCAGATTAACAAATCAATAAAAAATATTAAAAATAAACACAAATTCTTAAAATATAATAAAGGAATATAAACCTTATGCTTAGTTTCGACCAATTTCTGTTATTCTAATATGCAATAAGTTATTATGACTATCAACAATTCATTTACTCTCAACAACATATATTTCAGATGAAGTGTCTATTGTGACTACAAACATCAAATGAGTATAAAAAAATTCATTTACGTTCTCTGGTATAATGCGTATCGCCAAATATCTAATTAGCCAAATGCAAACAGCTGCTAAAGGTCTTCAAAACAATAATCATTTAATTCGAAATATGTAATCAGAATAACAATAAATTTAACTACTTACTCGCTGGAAGCATATGAATGATTAGATACATCATTCCCACTGACGTTAGCGCCATTCCCACCGCTGTTGTTATTAAAGCGCGCGCTACCTCCATAATTGTTGCCGGTAGAGCCTTCATTACTCTGTGCACTATTATTTGCATTGCCGGAATTATGTTTTGCTTTATTTGTTATGGGTTGCAATTTCGGCGTATCCATTTTAACAACTATAAGCTATTTAATTAACCAAAACACTTTATCATTAAACTTATTTATAATTGTTTTCTCTTATAGGCCAACTTGTTAATTTGACTCAGCGCTCAATTGGCATTATTCACAGTTTGCACAACACAGGCACTTTGATAAACTTTTCATGGAATACTTATATTTTATATGTGTCATTTTAATAAATTATGTTTTGTTTAAATTCAAGATATTATTTATTTTAAAGTTAATAAACTGTGTTATTTTGCAAATACAAAGATTACGAACATTTCACTTCAGCTATGTGATGTTAGTCCACAGCTGTTGGTACACAAGTGATGCCACACTCAAACATATTTCAATGAAACGTAGTTTTTGTATCCTTAGACAGCGTATACATATAAATTCAATAAGGAAAAAAATAGAGGTAACTTAAATTATATATTAGCCCTAAAATATTAAAATTATGTTATATAGTAGTGGATGCAGCGCTTACTATATAAAAAAATGATATTATAATTGAGCGAACGAACTATAGTGGCAACACAAGTGTTACTGCGGAAGAAAACTGGAACAGTTTGAATGGCGATGGATAATAAAAATTGTATTGGAAACGGCAAAGACGCGGTAAAAATTTCAGTTTTTAGGCGAATTTTATTACAACTATAAATTGCTTTTTCGCGCACTAATATGTGGTTTTATAAGAATAGTATAACGTAAAGGTCTCGATTAAGTGTTAAGCTAAACGCGAGTGTAGAAAAAAGTGTGTAAGTGTATCGATTTATTTGTAAATTCTATTGAATGTTTTTGGCTGGGTGTGCAGACATATGCGGGCATAATTTTAAGGAAATGAATTGAACCGGAAATCGGAAGAAGTATTGTAAGGTAATTGAGGATCGAAACTATCATAATAAACTGCAAATATGGTTTGAGATATGAATATGCTTATATTATCCAAGATCTACCAGTGAATGTAATTATGTACTTGCAACTAAAGCTGTATATCTTTTATTAACCCACGCATACCAATATGCAAGTACATAAACATTTCCAGAGACAAGTTGTTGCTGATATCCTCTGAAAAGAAATGTAACTTTGTATTGATGCTACAACTACAGCAATAAGAACACATATATGGCGCATTCCATTACAAATGTGATGGAAAATCACAACCGGTGGTTGTCTGAACAACAACGCTGCCGTCGCAAAGCAAATGCAGCAACAGTGTGTTTGCGCGGCACCAACTGCTGCTGCGTACATTTTAAATTTCCATAATTATATGCATCAGCAGGTTGGTACAAAAGCACAATAACAGACTAAACAAATGGCGCAATGACTTCCATCAAAAGTTTTGACGCTATGCGCTTGTACATATCTAGGTATGTGAGTTTGTGATGCTATTTGTGTGGTAAAGGTGCAGAAAATGTTGCTGAAACAAAGCCGTAATGAAACGCGAAAAATGTACAGCAGGCGCCGAGATAACCAAAAGAAAACAATAAAAAATTGTTTGTGCATGAGTGAATGAAAGAATATTGTATTTTTTCAGTAGAGTAAACCCGAGGACAGAGTGCAAATATTGACATTTTTAAATTATGATAAGAAGGAATAAATAAAAAAAAAAAACGAATAAGACAATTGCGTAAATTAATTGCGTGCATAAAAAACAGAGACACAACAAAAGAGATGCCGTACTATAGGAAAGTAGATATGTACATACATACATACTATGTATATAGACATACATATATGTATATGCAAATATGTATAATCTTAAAACGAGCATTTGGGACGGTTGCATTGTGCAATAAACACGCACGCTGGGTTTAATTGTTAGGATTTTGCATAATAAATTCTTACACCGGGCCGAAGAGTAATGACTGAGTAAAAGTTCTGTAACCAGAAATGTACTTTAGGAATAGTATTTAATATGCTATGTTTTTTGTTTTCATGGTTAAATGCTATTATGTATAATAAATATTTCAAATATAATATACGAGTAAAGGTTAAAATGTTATTGACGGTGTAAAAATTCAAGTTATTGTACTTGAGGTTTAATTTTGAATATGATGCATACAAATATTTGTGAATGGAGAAAATAATGGATTTTTATTTGGCATTTTACTGAAAATTATATTGTAATAATAATTTGAATTTTGAACACATGCTAAAATGTCGATACATATGTATATACAAGTAAATATATTTTTTAATGATGAATTGTTTTACTTCTAGCATAATTGAAATAAAAACTATCCTATATTTTATGTTGGATCAAACTGGATACAGTGTGCTAAATTTTACTAGTTTTGGAGTTTTGGAGTTTACCCTGGAGAAAACGTCGTTTATGTTTTGTTTAAGCATGTAATGTTTTTGTAATGAAGGTAATGGCTAACCAAATCCAATCGTCTGAAATTTCCACTTGGCTGGTTAACTGCTGTGGCCACAATTGCGACCCAAACGTAATTATTTTCATTAACATTATCAGCCTTTGGCGGTGCAAACAAAAGAAAGTTCATTTAGACTTCAAAAAAGTGAAATTTTTTAGTTTAAATGCCTCCCGCCATAAAACGTTAATTTACGGAAAATTTTAAACGTTGCACTTTAGCAGCTTGGGGAATGGTCTTAACGTAATGGTAATACATTAGTCAGTGCATACAAACTTAGTTAATCACTTTGTTGTAAGCTAGTCACTGGGGGCTAAGGTAAAAAGAGTTAGTAAGCACACCCGTGCGTGCTGTTGAGTAGGATTAGCGTTTTGTAGGCGTTTTAATACCTTGTGATTATCATTGTTTCGTTGAACTAACAACAATTGAACGACCATCGTATCAGATAGTGCTTGCATTGCCTAAGTAGTTGAGCGCTTTATCAGTCCTTGTTAATCGCAGGAAAATTGAAATTGTGGAAACAAAAAGCAATTGAAGTTGAAGTGTGTGTTAAACAAATAGTAATCTTAAGTTTAAAGGAGAAAAGTTAACACTTAGATATAAGTTGCTTGTTGCTGGAAATATTCAATTCTATTTTACTACATTTTATTTTCAATATTGGCAAATTTTGCTTTCAACTACAAACAACAAACGCTCAATCTCCTTCTTTCCCACAGCCTTGCGCGTAATCATATCGTTAAAATCACGGCTGCATTTCAGTAAAATATTTAATTATTCATAACACCAACTTGTTCTGTCGTTTATGCGCAAGTTTTGCTCTTCCTCATCTGCTTTGCGTTGCAATGAACCAATTTGGCTACCCATTTATGCCGCCGGAATAATAGCGCTCTGTTATGAGCATAAAATACATAGTACATAACATCGACGCGTTTGTACGTCCTCGCATGGAAACATGAACAGCCAATCTACATACACACATTCTCACTTAAATGCTTGTTGTCGCTTGCCATTGTTCCTGTCGTAAAATCATGTTTTCTTATCGTAACCCCACGTTTTTAACCTCGCAACACGTCATCCGCGCGATTCAACGCCTAAATGCCATAAACGGCGGTTTGAATTATAGTGGCGTAGGTTAAATGTCTCAATTCCAGCGCATAAACTACACACAATCCTTTTGTTTCCTAGCCACTTTTACCCCAAGCAAAGATTGACATATCATGGCACGACTGATGAGCGCGTGGCTTGCCAAAATATGCACAGAGAATTCGCGTAATTCGGTTTCCAGGATGGAGTAACGCATAGTGTCATCAGAGAGCTGGTAAAAATATTATTTATGATATACTTTGGCTGTGATCCTTCCGAGAAATGACTTTAATCAATTAAAAACCAAGACTAAACTGCAAATTTCCTCTTTTGGAACCTCCGCTAAGTTTGTTCTATCCTATTGATTTACCTTATTTTCCTTTATGTGATCAGAGCAAAATATATCGGGACTGCAGGAGGAGCTTTTCTTTCTGGAAATAATAACTTGACCATCAAGGAAAATTTCGTGGCTCATTTGCCTACCAGTCTAGTTTAACCTAACCTAACCTAAAAGCTAATGACTTCAAAAACATTTTCACCTTTTTGTGGTATTTCACGCAAATAAGGCCAGTGCTTTCTTTTATTTGTCCTCATTTTAATTTTGCAGAATCAATTTCGACTTATGAGGCCTTAAAAATGGCTAAACGCAGGATTTTGGTAATTTTCGTAACATTAAAAATACTAATCGATTTATATTTAATTCTAGTAAACAAAACATTTAAAATTCATTTATAGTGGTATTTCATTTACAAAATATGTTATGATCGATGGTTGAGTTAGAATAGTTCTGGATTCATGGTACTTTTGCAACTGCCATATCTATAGACACACGCATTGTTTTGTCATTAACGTCCTAAATATATATTTTTATCGATTTGCTAAAAGCGTTTGTTAATTTATTTTGGATATTTGTAGAATTGGTGGTGGATTTCTTTTCCACAATATTAAATAAATTGATGATGAAGAGCTCTTATAACAACAGTGCTATATGTATGAAGTCCTCCTTTATTTTTAGATATGTTTCGATGCAAGTGATCAAATTTACCGTTTTATTAGTTTTGCATGTATTTGTGAAATTCGGCTATAGGCTTTCAAGAGACAGTAGCGACCTGGACCTGGGTTGTAATTACACAAGATATTAAAAAAAATAACAAAAAATACCCTTGCATACTTTCGATATCCAGACTTATTTCTATTTTTAGACATTATTCTTTCAATTGTCATATACAAAATATCTAAAAAATAATAGCAAACTAGTCACGTGCATTATTATTTTCCACTCGAATCCAAAATAACAAACTTCCACTCGGATTCGCATTGACTTCTCATATAGAAACTTTAAGTTTCTTTCGTAAAATGTTGGCTGTTGTCGTGGTCGCCATCCTCATCATCTCGACACTCACTCATTTGGCTGTTTTCTTGGCGCCCACTCGGTAGTTTGCCTCCTACCAGTTTCGACTTACTCCCGATTGCCTGTGTTTTCTTATAATTAAGCCTTTTGTATATACTTTTTGGCAAAATATCACAACCGTTTCTGTTTGTTTATGCATCTTGTTGGGTGGATATGCGCTTGTGTACATTTGTGTGTGTATAAGTATGTATGTTGCGTGGAACGCACTAAATGCCTTTGGCCATAATTCGGAAATTAGCGTCAAAATTGCTAAACAATGTGGCTGCCGTCGTTTGCACTTTTAACTTGTTCATTTCTTCTGCGGTTGTAGTTGGAGTTGTAATTTCTAAGACATTGTACGATTTGAGTTTTGGCATTTGCTTATTCTGCAAGTTTGTGGTAAAGTTATTTGCCACTCGAATTTACAGCTAATTCAATTTTAATGCCTGATTTGTTATTAATTGAAATTGCCAACTGAATATGAACGTAAATAAGACATATACTCGCACTAACGAAAAGTCGTAAGAATGAAAAATGAATGATTCATTGTGTTGGGTCTTTAAAAGTTTTAACAATTATTAAAAAGTGTGTACTAAAACTTACCAAAATACTGTTCAAAAACTTCAAGTAAGGAAAAAATTGAATTGAGTCGTCTATCGGCGGATTAATGCTAAAAGATATATAGAAATATAGGCTTATCCGCACTTAATAAGATTATGATGTCTGACTTGACTAAGTAACACTAGGTTTGCTCATAACTTCAGCGTTCTACATGAGAAACTGTGTGGAAAATTTAATAGACTTACAAAAATTTAAGTACTTCTAGATATCATTATTCTTGTCTGCACTTGGTGGCCTATACTATTAGTCTATATCATTGAACATATGTTAGGTTAGAATAGGTTATACTGTCCGGCTATCACCCCATACATATACCTTCTGGACCTTAGTAATGTCAGATGGCGATTCAGTTAAATTTGAACTGAAGTATTCGTCATACAGGACGTCAACGATTTTTGCGAACTTTA